AATTTATTCAGTTTGTAATTAGCTTTTTAAACTGATATAAAATAAATATATTTATATTTCTTTTCTTAAAAACACAGATTTATTTTTCTTTCTAGTATTCGCACTAAAGAAAGACTGCAAAACTAGTTTGTTAGCATATTTTAATTAATGGTAATAATATCCCGAGATCCCGGGATTACCAATTTAAGATCCCGTAATCCCGGGAATCACAAAATGGTCCGGGATTGGATGCCTTAATGTACATATGTTTGAATGGTTGTATATATATTTGTATGTATGTACATATGTTTGTGTATGTACATATGTTTGTGTACATGTATATATGCACATATGTATGTAGTACAAACGAAAACAAATCTAATAAACTGCTCGTTGATATAAATGCGAACTGAACTGTTTGCCAAAATTATGTGTTTGTTGAACATTTGTTCATGTTTGTCATTGGGCGTGTAATTTTCTAGAGTAGTTTTGTGCTCTTGCTATCTCCTTGTATTAACTCGTCTTTCGTTGGTATACTCTGATGAACATATGTGAGGATGATAGCAGGGCCAACTTATATAAGGTAGTGTTACAGGAGCAGTTGGAATTTTCGCTCGATGTTTCTTAAAGAAAGCCATAAACGTAGTACCGTTGGTTCAACTTGGTGTTGTGTTGCTCTAGATTGCACCGTTTGTGGGCCTGTTAAATGAATTTATGTCTTGGTTGTATAAAAGATCAAAAAATTTAGATTTTCTGGCAAGTTGTACAACTTATCGCTACATTAATGGCCATGTTGTACAAATTCATTTAATTTGCGTTTATTTTGTACACTAAATAACCGAAAATGCATAACTCAGCCGAAATAGGTACGTGCTTTCGTTGAATTTTATAAATGTAAGCCGAAACTATGAAATTGTAAAAATGAGATTTTACAATGAGACTGCTCGCAAAATCGCAATGTTTGTGGGCAAAACGTCCAACTTGATTGCGGATTGCGGATTTGAACCAACGTTTTCGGCTTGCATTATGTCAAAAGGATGTGTTTGTTGTAATTCATTCTGTCATTTACTACCATTATGCGT